GAGCTTTACTTTTTCTTGATATTGACATTTTGGTGCTTGTGGAATCTGCAACTGGTCCATCTGTGAAGATGACAGGGACTCCTCACTTTTGAGTTTTTTCCTCCTTTGTAAAATAATTAAACTTGAATTATTTTTTATTCAGTTGTAATAGGGGTGGGACGATACACAGATCTTGCGATACGATACGTATCTCGATATATTGGCACGATACGATACGTATCTCGATATTATGATAAATCATAAAACTTTTTAAAAATAGTATTTTATTTCATTTTTTTTTGTCTTGACATTAACACAATATGATAAATTATAAAACTATTCAAAAGAATTAGTATTTTATTTAATTTTTTTGTCTTGACATTAACTCAAAAAAATATTCTATATCAAATCATGTGTGCTATGAAATTAATACTTGAAGTTCATCAACTTCATTAACTAAATCTTTACAAAAACAATAGTACAGGACAATGGTACATATTACCAAATTTCTATTAATCAAGTTGTTTACAAATAGTTGTGTAGTTTATCAACGAACACTGACTAAAAGCTCATTAAAAAATCACATTTACATTATTAGTTATTGCTGAATGTCTGTACCCAAGTTGAGATTACGAAAAAAAGTATGAATGGACTAACAACTAATAATATCAAATGTTCTGGAAACGATACTTTTCTGTGTATAGCACGCTTTGCACACTGAACTTTTCTTGTCCAATCTTCCGAGGCTGCTTAAAAGTGAAAACGTATTACCCCTAATCAACGACTTATCAGTTCTAAAGTGTGTTTTCAATATCAACACCATCTTTTCGCTTCGTACAGGCCGCCATTTTCAAGGACAGATACTTTCATTTTCAATTTTTGGATAGGTCGTTCGTGTATCGTTTCGTACCGATATTTGAATGCTCGTATCGTAAACCGTATCTTAGAGGAAAATATCGATATGTATCGGTGTATCGGTATATCGTCCCACCCCTAAGTTGTAAGCTACTCTGTTTATACAATTACATGTACCCTTTTAAAGATTTTTAGTAAAATATTCTCAATTAAACTCCACCCACCCACCATCCAAAATATGATGTCGGTCATATTTTGAAAAATAATTTCACCTTTTTGTACATTCAGGATCAGAGAAATCCATGGCCTTTCCTTCATTCCATGCAAAATATGCAGGGTCCCCCTCCTTCTTACCATCCTTAAAGTGGCAGGAGCAGATGCGATCATTCTGATCTCCTGGTTGGCGATCAGCTCATCTAAAAATATACATTGTTATACCTTTAAAAAATTGTGCCTATACAAATCTATACAGAAAAAAGTCTAACATTTTTAATGTTTTGCTGAGCGGGCATAAAAAGCGATGTTGGACCGCTGAGTGAGATGTTGGACCGCTCGGAGAAATGTTGGACCACTTACGTCACAGAATGGGCGGAGCTTAATCTCATTTTCATTCTTTGGTTTTAAAAAGTGACAGATCTAATGTTACATTAATATAGTACAAAATACATGTATGTCAAAAAATATATAATAAAATGAAAGGTATAACAAAACATTTATTGACAGAGTTCTCGGGCAAAATGCGTTTTGTCGGACCCTCGAACCAAACTGTCTGCCTTCGGCCTAACGGCCTCAGGCAGACTGTTTGGTTCTTGGGTCTGACAAAACGCATGTTGCCCTCGAACTCAGTCAATAAATGTATATTATACAAAGACTGAGTGAAGGAGAATTAAAAAGCAAAACATGTTCATTTAGCATGTTATTATCAAATAGCCTAAATGACTTATTTTTTCATTATTTTTTTTTTAATGTTACATTTACTTGCAAGTACAAGATAACCATGTGCATAACATTAACTAATCCGAGATTCCTCTGACTCTAACCCCCGCTTTTATATTGTGACTTGTGCGCACAAGTCACAATATAAAAGCGGGGGTTAGAGTCAGAGGAATCTCGGATTAAACATTAACAAACGGTAGCAGTATTTGGTAGTAATAATACGAAATAAAATGTCATAAAAACAGCTGTTAAACAAAAATTAATCTTGCTACAAATTGCACAGTTTTTGTAGTATGTTTCTGCTATATTGATTACTACGAGATTTTACTTTTTAGCATGCATGTATAAATACTGTATCTGACAGTGACAATGCAGCATCGTGACATATCGTTACAAGTACCTACAAATTTTGTCAATACATCTACGTTTTAATACTGAGTTTTTTCCCTAGCAGGCCGAAATATCTCCATCATGTCACCAGGAACAACACTCGTGCATCTCGTAATTAGTGTTGCAATAAACAAACTGATGTGTTTTTTCTCACCTGCATGGTTTTCCCGACGCGTCAGCTACTTTCGTTATTTCTAACCAATGAAAATTGTCCTTACTTTTCTGTTGCGTCATGCAATTTTATTGCACGCATCACTGAATTGTAGAACACACATCACAAGATTATCAAACAAACATCACAAGATTTCGAATATACATCACAAGATTTCGAATATACATCACAAGATTATCAAACATACATCACAAGATTTCGAATATACATCACAAGATTTCGAACATACATCACAAGATTATAGAATATACATCACAAGATTTCGAATATACATCACAAGATATTGAATATACATCACAAGATTTTGAACATACATCACAAGATTTCGAATATACATCACAAGATTATCAAACATACATCACAAGATTTCGAATATACATCACAAGATTTCGAACATACATCACAAGATTATAGAATATACATCACAAGATTTCGAATATACATCACAAGATATCGAACATACATCACAAGATTTCGAATATACATCACAAGATTATCAAACATGCATCACAAGATTTCGAATATACATCACAAGATTTCGAACATACATCACAAGATTATAGAATATACATCACAAGTTTAAGAATATACATCACAAGATATTGAATATACATCACAAGATTTTGAACATACATCACAAGATTTTGAATATACATCACAAGATTTCGAACATACATCACAAGATTTTGAATATACATCACAAGATTTTGAATATACATCACAAGATTTCGAACATACATCACAAGATTTTGAATATACATCACAAGATTTCGAACATACATCACAAGATTTTGAATATACATCACAAGATTATCGAATATTGCAACGTTTGACATGCCATACTTGTCAATAATAAATTCAAAATTGATGTTCTGAATTGCATAGGTTGTGTGTTAATTAGTTAAAACAATTCAACAAGTCAAAGTAAACATGCATCTTCCTCGGGTTAGACTGAATTATTACCTAAATTTCCCGCAGCATTTTAACAAATTGCATCACTTAAGAAAGTAATTAATATGTGAAGATAACGAAGTTAAAGATACAATTAAAGAATACAAAATTGTGAACAGAGCCATTAGCTTACGGATATCTGAAGTGAACAGGATCGGATGCCATGGAGGATTATAAGCTTGACCTGTTACAGTAACTGGCCAAACTCACTGTCGGTCCCTTTTCTTGAATCAATAGTCGGAAAAATAGGTAGTCTGTGATGCCATGTTAAAACGAGAGCGCAATTTGAATGAAAGACGTCAGTCTTCCTTTGACTTGTATTTACAAACATTGTCATATTGTTTTGACCAAAGAATTTGCGAAAAATCTTTTTTAACTAGAGTGTTGATATGGTTGAATTATAATCTGTTTCGTCGATCTCTTGCCTTGTGATAGAAGTAAATCATATATACAAAATTCTCTTCCATTTTATTTTACAAAATAATTTAATGTAGCTGGAAGACTTTACTCCATACGCAGCTGATAAGGTACATGTATATATTGCTACAGAAGGACCGTTGACATTAGAAAATGTTGAAATCATCAAGTTTTTATTAAGTTTTATACTTTTCATCTGTCCAGCAATGTTATTCTCAAATTGAACAAGGTATAAAACATAGTTGTCATATTCTTTATTTTAAGTTCAATTAGATAATTATATTAGAATCAACATACACCGTACCCAGTAAGTCCAGTATACCGAAGCTGATTTGCTCTATATGTCTATTTCAGAAAATATCCGTTAATATTGATTTCATAATGCACTGAAAAAATTGAAATCTCGTTTGAACTAAGGATGGAAAAGGAAATCGAAAAATGCTATGTTAGGACATTCTGTTCTTTATACTTTGTGGCAATTAGATTGATTGTATTTTTGTGCAATGAACCCCCCCTCGAGGGATTTATAATTTGATATGCATCAAAACTGTACTGCGTTCAGGCTGATAGAATTACATAACGTTAAAATTTAAATATTAAAACATAATACATATTTTTTATACTTGATTAAAAAATCAATTTATTTTAGATATTATTCTTCATTCTCTCTCTTCATGGCTGTCTCTAATAACCTTCCCATTTCGACTAACAGAATAAACATTTAGACAAAATAAATTTTTCTCTCTAGATGGTCTTTCTTGTTATTGTGATTTTATCTGGTTCATAAAATACAAAGCTTATTTCACTAATTTCTTTTATTTACATATTTTATATTCATTGAAGCAGAATTTGTCCAAAATCTTATACGTGTGCAATGGAAGAAACAACACAACTCGACATTAAGATAAATCGACGACCTATTGTCAATTAACAATTGCAATTTCCATTCTCATGTCGACGTCCATACGATATATCCCATTGAGCTTGAAATAAAAGATTCCAAAGAGTCTAAAACATTTGTTTCATATTTGGATATTTTACTTGAAAAAGACAATAATGATTATCTAACAACCAAGCTTAATGACTTTAACTTTTCGATCGTCAACTCCCCTTACTTAAGCAGTTATATATATATACCTTCATCACCTGTGTACTGGGTTTATCCTTTAGTTGATTCGATACGCAAGAACATGCTCTAGGTACATGTATATACTGAGTAGTAATAGATCTGAGTTATTGTATATTTTATTGACGAATTTGTATTTTTATCTTTTTTTTCAACCATATCTTTATTAAGATCTGATAATATGTATACTTTGGTAAAATATCTGTTCTGACCAACAAGTTGATGAAATACGAGTATCAGCAGTCTCGTTTAAAGTCATCATTTCGCAAGTTTCTATGGTCTTTACAATGACCTTGTCAGCAAATACAATTTATCATTGAGACAAATGTTGACCGACGTTTTTCATACCAATTGTTAGCCCATTATTTATAAATTGAATGGACAAAGGATTTTCCCGGTATTTTTCGATCATGGCAAGGAGCACACGGCGGATGTGAGCGGTCAGCAGGGGATGCTCACTCTTCCGAGGCACCTGGTCCCACCTCGGAGATATCTCGGAGATTCGTGATTGCTCTGCTCCTATTTTGTATTGTTTTATGGATTTTGATCTTGAATACTGTCCGTTATCTTCAGTTGTTTCTTGCAATCTTTATATAATGGGAGGAACGTCTGACCGTCAGAACCCTGTAGTGTTCCTTCTCTTCTCGGATACAAAAATGACAAAACGTTACGAAGGAAATCACAACTTTAAACCGTGAAACAGTTGATGAGATGCATATTTTTGCATCAATATCTTGCGATTCTGACAGAATGACTGATAACTCGTGCAAACACGCCACTAAAAGATTATCTTTGTGTGAATATTATACTTTTTTATTTATGATCCGGTGGTTTCCTAGAACGAGAAATTAAAACGATGGTGAAATGAATATGAAGATGTTATATTTGTCTTTCTTCCGTTAATTTCACGTGTCTCCTTGACAACAAGATTACCCTCTCTGTTGATGTGGCATAAATTAATGTCTTTCTTCAGTAAACGAGAAAATCCATCCTGTTGTTTGACAGGAAGCGAAATATCCCTCGGATATTACAAAATACAAATAAAATTCTCTGCCATGCATTGTTTCAGTGATGAATGAAATCAGGGAAGAATTTTTGACAGAAAGTCATTCTGTTCTGATTTATTCAAAAGCCAACCTGCTTTTTTATGTCAATTAATTAATTCGCCTAATAAATTCAGAGTATTTATATATATATAAACGAAGTCGAACTTTCAATTGAATTTTTAGTAATGCCAATATGGAAATAATTTATTTTATTAAATATACACATTTTTACTAAGGAAAGAAATAATATTTTCCTCCAAAAATCACTATTGCTGATTAATCAAACAAAGTTTTTGACAATTTAATTTTTTATCCATTAACTTTTAACCTTCTCGTCGTTATGTTGCATTAATCATTCTCTTTCTTTAAGAAACTTAGAACTTGTGTCTTATCCTTTTGGCTTTAATTGTCAATAAAATATGTTCAATTCAATTTAAGAAACCTTTTTACTTCACGAGGATGAACGGAAGCTGACTATTCTTTAGATGAAACAAATATTCTTTAGGGCATTAATCTTTTTTCGTAGCTGTGCAAGGTACAATTTTTTATATTCTTTACTAAAATAAATCATAAATCCTTGCTCCGATCTTTTAAATCAAGAAAAACAGAATGAAGTCTAAACATACAGTAAAAAATGTCATTTTTCTAGCATTACCTCCGACATATATCAAATGTTGTTATTATTGCGAATGCCAAGGCGTTTCAGTTGTTTAAACAAAATCACCATGCCATTCTCTGCTAACATAATTATCGAGTGCATTAAAGGATTTTATATCCATTATGTAAAATTTGAGACTTAACAAAACACGCATTTTCAAGAAAAGAAGACATAAATATATTAATGATTACGTAAAACAAGGCAGGTGTATTGTCGAATACTATATTATACATGGTTTATCCCTTTAAATTACATGTATATCCTTGTTTAATACCGATCATCAATACTGATTTCCATAAGCTTTAATACAATTGTATTTGTTATTCAATATTCTATGTACATGCAAATAATTGTAAATGTTTGTAAATATTTTACGATTATTCAGCTTTTATGCATAGGAAGGGACAAAAGCTAAGTTTTGGAACTTTTGGAACAATTAACCTGTAAATTACCATATATTGTAAATAAAATGTGTTAAAACAAAATAGGAAATTTTAAAATTTGATCAAAATGAAATTTGATTTTTCAGCATATTTCTCAAATTGTATGATCATTAAATTGCACTTTGTTTAAATTTATGTTGCAGATCATTTTTACTAACATGTGTCATACTTATGTTCAGCTGTTGTTTTTATCCATATTTAACTAAACCTTCCTCGTTTACATAATAAATAAAGGTGGTCCCAGAACTGATGTGAACCCTTGACAGTTGAATATTTCCTCAATGGCACATGATCCCATATTCAGTGTTTCCGGAGATCAATGTATTTTGCACTGACTACGTTTTATATCTTTTATAGTTTTAATGTTATCCTTTTAAATCTTCACCTTAAGTTTGTAATCTTGATCTCTGTACGTATTTTCACACGTATCTTTGCCAATTTTAGTTTTAAAAGATGCGACGGGGAAACCATCTTAGTAAACAAAAATTACCTTCAAGAATAAGAACTATAGTTTGTAACTTGCTTTGAATTTTCTTATCGCCGATATATACATGGCTGAAATATTGCAGTTTTGGCGTAAAACATTAATTAATCACTCAATCAAGCAGTTTTTCTTTTAAATGGTCGCGTAAGCCTAGCAGAAGGATTCTGGCCTCGTGGACAAGAGGCTCCGATTTTATTTCCGGTTCCGTTCCCCTATCTTACCTGTATATCAAAGTAAAAGCAAACAGAACAAATAAAACGATTTTTGATTCATAATACATTGTGAAAGTCGTGATGATATACTGCAGTTTTGGAACAGAATATATGCCTTTAATTGAACAAATGGCACAGGTATTGAAATTTAACCTCATTTAAAGGAGCTGGGTGGTTGTAGCCATTTTAAGACTTTTTTGATCTCCTTTAGAAGACGAGCTACACATAAAGATATAATAAAATGATCAATTTTTAAAACTAGAATTTATATTAAAAAAATCTTTGCCAAATGATAGTTGAAAGCCTAAGATCCTAAAACTTAAGTTATATCTGGTGGTGAAAAAAAATAATTTGTTAACCCCTAGCCTCCTTAACTCATATATCTTTATTATGTTCCCCAAACGAAGTTGGGGGAACATATTGTTTTTACTCTGTTTCTTCTTATTATTATTATTCTTTTTTCTTCTTATTTCTTCTCCGGTACTTTTTTGTCCGGAAT